GTCACGGCACACGAGGGAGTGGGTGGCCAGCACGACGCCCGGCCGCCTTTGTCTCGGCAGTGCTGATGATGTTTTACACACCGCACACCGGGTGCTCAATTTGAAGGATGAGTCGACCTAGGAGAGGTCCAGGACTGGTTCAAATAATCGTACGCACACACTACGTACACACTACGCGCACTCGTACGCGCACACGTACGCACACACGTACGCGCACACGTACGCACACACGTACGCGCACTCGTACGCACACACGTACGCACACACGTACGCGCACTCGTACGCGCACACGTACGCACACACGTACGCGCACTCGTACGCACACACGTACGCACACACGTACGCGCACACGTACACACTACGCACACACGTACGCGCACACGTACGCACACACGTATGCGCACACGTACGCACACACGTACGCACACACGTACGCGCAGACGTACGCGCACGCGCGCGAGAAATCAGTCATCCCACCGTCAAATAATTACTCGCGCAAGAAAGTGAGAAGACGAATAAAAAAAAGCAGGACACATTTCATTCGTAATTAAATGTACAAAGCAATCACGTGAGTGCGCTTATTATTATTATTATTCGGAAAAACGTGTTTGTTTGTTTATTGCTTTTTTTACACCTTTTGGAAAAGGTGCTGCCAACTTTGCGTGAGGTGGCAGCAACAAAAAAGGTGCCAATCCTGTTGACGCTGTCGGTGACAATTTACACATTCACACCTGTCGAGCAATTTTCGGTCAAACTGTTTTTTTTAAATAATAATACAAAAAATGTAAAAAACAATTGGGCGCACGGAAACGAAAAAAAATAATAATTGCCCCCCCACCCACCCACCCCCGCTTAGCAATGTTTTGTCATAACGAAGCCTCTAGTTTTATTTTGAATAACGTCGCAACGTTCGCTTCGGTGATGGTTATTTGGCGCCGTTTTTGAAAAGTAACCATCAAGTAGTGTGGTTTCATTTTTTTTTTATTGCTAAATGTAAAAATAAAACTCTGCAAGTCAACTCAATTGCGTCCTTTTTCTTCTACTGTGATTTGTTTTATGTTGTGGCGTTGTATTTCTACTTTCATTTGTTTTTGCCTCTTGGTTGTTCACAGTTTTTCTTAAACGTTATCCATGCTCTGTGTGTGTGCGCGTCGCTACTCAGTAGCGTTGCTTCAATTGACTCCGCACCGCAACCCCGGCGATTCGTTGATCTGAACCCAATTATGGGTCACGATTTGATTCAAGACAACATTCTCTTCTTCAAAGCATTGTGGTCAATGCAGCGGCCACTAGCGGCTGCATGTAAACCCACCGTGTGTGACATATACGTAACGTGCTTGTCTCCTGAACGTATACGCTTGCCATGGTCGAATTATGAGCGCAATGCAATCCAGATGTTCCCGGTTCTATCTCCTGGCGCGGCAGTTTAAGCAATGCATTCGTTTTTTTTTCAATCCCTCCCAGTCATCTGTACATGTGTGCGGCTGCGGGTAAAGTACTCTTCCCGATACGTTCTACGTAGCACTTCGTGCATCTTGAATCCTTGCCTCACTTGATGCAGCAAATCTGGCTGTGACGGTCCCACCTGATGACGGAGACTTGTGTTGCCTCCGAAACGTCGTGATTTTTATTATTTTATTTTTATTAATTTAAATTTCATTTTTTTTACCTACGTGACTTTACCGAAAGAACTACGAGTATGAATCCTTGCAGTCACGAAAGCTTCAAATCTAGATTTAAAGCGTATAACAGTAGGCCAAACACACCCTCCAAACCCAGGGGCTCTCTAGCAGAGGCTCGTCTATCAGCAGTGCAGTGAGCAAGGCAATGCAGGGCTGCTCTCTCACTCTCTCCGTGAGCCCACGTCCTTTCTCAAAGACGTCGGCCGAGCGGGAGCTTCCTTCCATTCAGCTCCGTCCGTGATGTTCCTCTAAGTTGCATCCAATTATTCAAATTGCTCACCCAACCGCATTCGCTGTCTTCCCCCGACTTCTATTGCCTCGTATTTTTCCCGGTCAAAACACTCATATTGAGTCTCTTGTTTTCTCTTTGCACGTACAAGACAAATCTAACTGTGGCTTTCTCAAAATGTGTTCATTAACATCCTTGCTGTGTACACTGCTGCAATCTGCCATAAATCTATGCTGCTCGTCTTGTTTCTACATTACGTTTATGACATCCTTCTTAAGAAACAAAAACATCCGTTGCTTCGAGTTTGCTTCGTAGGGTATTTGCAATTGCCCCAGCTTTCACAAGAAGAACGGACCAGACGTAACACTGCGCGATTCCAATTCTCGTTGTCATAAACCTTGTCCTGTGTTTCAGTGCGGTTGCATGGCTGCACCTGCACCGCTTACCCATCGCGATCTTAATAATCGATATCAACCAATGGATATCGATGCGTCGGCAACACCTCCACTCCCCCAGAGGAAGCTCCACGCACACTCCATCACGTCCCCCCCCCCACACCCCCACACCCCCGCATCGCGCGGAGAAAGAGCAAGCCAGAGTTAAATCCCCGTTGCGGCTGTTCAAATCAAAACCACTGGCATCGATGAATAAATAAACATTTGGCTGACACATCAATGACCCACCATTGTGAAATAACTCCAAAATAACACTGATTAATAATAATCAGAAGAGTCGTGGCGTTATTGCTGATTGATGCAAATGTTCAATTTATTGGGCTCCCTCTCCGATTGCAACCCCCTCATAACCAAACGTCGGCAAAATTCGACCCACGTGGCAGCTCTGTGCTAAAGCCACTTTTCCGTCCGTTCTTTCCCCCCCCCCTTCTTCTTATACACGTATTCTTAGTATGCGAACGTGCCAGCTGAGCGCACGGTGGAACACACGGTCTCCCCAGTTACGTACCCCCTCCTCTCCCCCGCCCCCCTCTGCACCATGTAACCTTAACAGACTGGCAAGTGCCATTAGCGAACACTTATGAAGACCGGGCACGGCATAACGAGGCTATGGGTGGCTAGCAAGCACGCTCAGCCGACCGTAAAAGCGTTGTCCCCACCAAGCGCTCATGTCCACACACCTCACCAACTACGGGGTTAAGGCTGAGTCGACATAGACGAGGTGGAGGTTGGGGCGGGGGGGGGGGGGGAGTTGACATGACCATTTCAATGAAGCTGCCAATAATCCTGACTCCAGATGTCCCCAGTACGCAGACACGCGCGTCACTCACGCTGCACATGTGGCAGCAAGGCTGCGTTCGTTGGCACTGAAAGGCAACCCAGGGATGTATCTCTCCGCTGCAAGCCCTTCAAAGTGTTCTCGAGGTGGTTGCCGCCTGTTGGCTGGCATTGGTGTCCGACGCTTAACTCCACGTGCCGGGAGCTTCTCCAGGAACTGCACCTCGAATTTGAAGAAGAAGAAGAAGAAGGAGCTGCCAGCACGTGGAGTGAAACGTCTCGGCCATTATGCGCAACAGCACGCGGAACACGACCCCTTACCCCGCACCCCCGATTAGCTCGGTTGAGTACGTACGGTGCGAGAGAAGTTCAACGCACATACGGAAATCACATTCGGAGTGCGCTAATGCAGTCTCCTCCCGCAACTCAATGTTCGGCTGCAGTCGAAGTTTGCTGCTGCTGCTAATTTGCAGATGGTTTGCATCTCTGATTCTGCCCTCGATTGGAAAGTGAGTTCGTAAGTTAGCGACTGTTTTCGAGGTTGCTGAAGCCGCACAGTAAATCAAACAATTACGCTGAAGCCGTGACCGATAAATTACTTAATGCGTCCATAATATGAAGAATGCTGGAAATAAATTAAAACAAAACACATGCCTTATTTAAACCAACTCTATTTCCAGATGTTGCGGTTGTAAAGAGAATTGTAATAATGAAATAAATCAAATGAAAGTGTCTCTACAAAAAAAAAGTGCTTACAAATAAATAAAATGTGCACAATCGTTTCACAACGTCACACATCACACCCGCGCGCACAAAGACAAATATCTCCCGTATAGCCTTTAACAGGCTGTCGCCGTTCATCTAATCCGGTCCCGGGCCTTCCCTAGGTCAACTCAGCCTCAAATGACAACCTGGTGCGATGCGTAAACATCGCCACTGTGGAGACAAAGGCGGCCAGGCGAGTTCCTAGCAACACCACCACCTCGTGTACAAAGTGTGCTCGTCAACATCACTTGGAAACAATCTGTTAAGACTACACGGAGGATAGTTGTCTTTGCTTTACAAGATAATCGTGAAGAATGTTCCAAAACCGGTGTATCGGATGACTCAACATTCAATAAGCTATAATCTAAGCGTGTGCAATTTCTGCGGAGGGCCTCGTCAAAATCACCGCAGGAGTTTCCCTGGGGCGCTGTGATGATGACAGCGACGAGAGGCGTGTGTGGGGCGAGGGTGGGAGTTGGGCTAGGGGAAGGGGAGGGTAGAACGTAATCGTGGATCCGTGCGGTGAGAAGCCACGACGCTTAGCCGAGCTACTTTTAACACTTGACCCGTGAGGCAGGAAGTGCGGCACCCGAGCCGCGTGTGCCGCACTGAGGATGTTCTGACCGCTGCGTGCTTTTTTTGCGGCGGGGTTCTCGTTGCGACACGCGCCGCCCTCGAAAATTAAACGAGTGAAAAGTGTGTGTTTTTTTTAAAAACGTACATTTTATTTGCGTTACGATATTACCCGGGTTATTATTATTATTATTTAATATTTTACATTTTGGGCCCGATGTCGCTCGCTAATTTGCTCTCGACTCGGTAAGACTCTCGTGGGTTAATCATTTTACATTAGGTGGAATTGAATTGTAAGAAAATTCTGCAGTGGTGTAACGGGATTCGTCCAGTCGAAATTAAGTTTCTCATTCGGATTCTGGCGAGCATGCTTGGACCGAGCAAATCCAGAGGTCGGAGGTCATCGGTCCGACTTGATCTCCCGGCAATAGCACGCAGCGGTTCGAGATGGGTTGTGGCTGTTAACACCGCGGGGACAGCAGGTCGTATATGTTGGGGTAAACGTGTGAGTAAACCCACCTCTCTCCCAAGACGCGATGGTGATGAGCTGTTATCTCGCTCGCCTGCTACGTAGGAGGTCGTGGGTTTGATTCCGGACCCTGACGATGCCTGTTGTATATTTGAAGTTCGCGTGATCTCGCTGTCCACATGGTGACCGCGTTGGGTTTTCTCCGGGTCCTCCTCCGGTTCCGCCCTCCACATTTGAGAGACACGCGTTTCGATTATTCGGCTGCTACTTTAAATGCCCACGTGTGATGATAACGATGATGATTTATGTGTGGCCATGTCACCTTTGAACAAGACGGTGGGTTAAACACCTCCCCACCCGTCTCCCACCATATTATAATTGTGCTTTCAGCAAAATGACACGAGATGAAAACCATTTTGATACGTAACTTTCTGGAGTGTGTGGTGCATCACCGTGTGTCAGAGCAGGCCGCCAGAAGTTGACGTTACAGAACTATTTCCGAGAAAAATATATTTCTAAACAGGCATTTTATCCACCCTCGACACACACCTTCTGCGTGCCCTGCAGGGAGTGTTCCTCGCATGTCAATCAAACGGAACATTTTTAAAGTCTCAGGAGTTGGAATGTTTGCCGAATTAAGTGAAAAAAATAACTTCACACGATATACATTTAAGTGCTGTTATTATTTGGATACCCTTAAAGCTTCCTTGAAGAGCTTTGGATTCGACCTTAAAAGCTGGGAATCCCTAGCACAGGACCGACCTGCCTGGAGAAGAAAAGTACAGGACGCTGCAGTCCTCTGTGAGAGTAGGAGAAGCTCCTGTGCTATCTTGAAGAGGCAGCAGCGCAAATCTACCAAGGAAGGACGTGTGGCTGCACCTCAGAGCTCTTCATCCTCCCTGACCTGTCCAGTGTGCCACAGAGAATGCCGGGCTCGGATTGGCCTCTTCAGCCATCTGCGCACTCATCAACACCCAACAAAATGACAAACGTGCCATGGTCATCATCAACTTTGATGGACGAACAAGAAGTTATTATTTGTCATCAAGCTACGACCATCAACTCGCTACACTTGGGGACCCGCTTTAATCACGGCGTTGGCTGCAATCCGGATTCAAACACCGGGACACCAGCAGTGGCAGTTCGGTGTCTCTGACGCAGCCACGACGAACTCGACGAGTCACCTCGCCTATTACCCAACAACCACCGCGCTCAATGGTATTTTCTCCCATCGGTCACCCGACGCGGTGACGCCACGATTCGCGCTAATTCAACAGTCCGTGCCTCTATTATCTTTGTCGCCGCTATTTATTTACTCGTCCTCGCAAGAGGAGATAAATAACTCGTCGCCGCAAACAATTATTCCATTTCGCGGCTCCCCCCTGGGCTGGATGTGAACTCTCCATCCTCGAAGTTTGCTTGGGTTCGGCGAGCCACCGGGAGTCGCACAGCTGCCCCGAAGCCTCCTTATATATTTGCGTCTCGGCTGAACGTTCTTTGCTGGAGACACATTGAGCCCATGCATTCGGCTCCCAAACGCAACCCAGGACAGGGGGGGGGGGGGGGCGGTGGGCAGTGCTGCGCGAGGCGGCGCGCGGGAGCCGACCGACGCTTCACACCGCGGTGCCGGGATTTGTTTTCCTTTGCACGACATTTTTTTGGGCAAAGGTGCAGCCCCTGCAATTACCCTTTCCAAGCCGTTGCTGGTGGAAGGACCTCGCCGAGAGGCAGCTCTCGGTCGCCCACTCCCATCCAGAGAGCGTTGCGGGTTGCTCTTCGACGCAGGCCAGGCACTTTGGAAGATGTGAGAGTACCCACACTTTAACCCGCCACGCGTGACATGCCGGTCGACCTTACTGCGGTTTAGCCCTTTTATACTGCTCGGTGGACAGAGGTGGCGGGGGTGTGGGGGGTGCCGGGGGGTTGAATAAACCTGGCCACTGTTTCCACGAGATAAGTCCCTTGGTTGAGCTATCGTCTGTGGCCAGGTCGCTAATGAAAGAAAGCTATATAACTCAGTGGACCTTACCTGGTATAATAAAAAGTTTAGTTTAAGTTTCAGTTGAGGAAATAACTTCATCCAGCAGTGGAATTTGCAAGTGTTCGTTGTTTGCAATTCTGTGTGCATGTTCTATCTTATTGCGTCTTGTCAACCGCTCCAGCCAGTACAATCACCCTCCAATGTTAAATTGACAAACAAATATTCGCATTTCCACGAGGTTGCCGCGACCACACTGCACGGCTGAATGAAGTCCCTGAAAACAGAGCCACGAGCAGGTGGAGCGAAACGTCGAAAGACCGTGGCGAACAACACACGGTGCATCGAATTGACTCACTCTGCCCCCACCCGCTGCCCTTCAAGCCCTGCCCAACCGCCGTTTGTAAAACGTCAGGGTTCTTTGATTGGTGTCAGGACCCGGTGTCTATTTTGCACACGTGTTCATCTGCTGAGGGTGAAGTATTTCAAATCTGCACGTGACACACTGCCTAGCCAGAGGGCCTCCCCCGCCGCTTCGAGATGGGGGGGAGGATGCCCTCAATTTCGACGCTGGCCAGCTGGGGTGGAAGTGGTGGCAGTACCCACACTTTACCCCACCCCCGTGCCACCTGTGTCCGATTTTACTAGGCTGAGTGGACAGCTGTTGTGGAATGGAGAAGCTTGCCCAAGGTTTGCAACAGAAGACAAAGACAATATATTCCCGTATAGCCTGAATGCATTTTTGAGGCAAGTGCTGTTAGCGAGCGCCTATGAAGGCCTGCATGGACCACTAGTAAGTGGGCGAGCAGCCCTACGCCCGGCCGCCCGAAGTACTTATTGGAGGCTGAGTCGACCTGGGGGAAGCCGCGGTCAGGCGGGTTCGTCGCAGCACAGCGTGCTATCCAGCTCGCCACGGCTCCCCTCACAGACACAGACACACTGTCCTATTTACACCCCCACTCACACTCATGCATATAACCACACGACACACACACGTAAATATATAATAGACAGATAATGCAATGTGCCTCGCTACAGCCTCGGAAGCAGCAGAAGCAAGCCATGATGATGGAATAGCACACGTCGTCATCATGGAAATTTTACACAGCAGGAGAAATGAAATTGATTACGAGTGACCACAAGCCCCGTGCAGTTGCAGCAATGAAACAATCCTTGGCAGCGAACAGAAACCTCCTCTCTGTGCGCGCTGTGCCCGATGTGTTGACTAAGCAAGCTGTGCTAGCCGTGGCTGGCCGGTTCAGCTACGTATGTACGCAGAACTTCTTTCGCACCGTACGTAGCCAACCGTGATCATCGAGAGACGATGATCACGGTTCAAGATTCAAGATCACAGGCCCGAAAAAGGCGAACGGGCAGCAACAAACGGCAAGACTCAATGTGTTCCATGTGAGTGGCAGATTACAATGAGAGGTGTTTGGAGCTATGCCCCCCCCCCCCTTCCTTATAAAATACGAGACCCAAGGAACTTGTACTTTGTAAAAATACATTGCATCTTTATTGGTATTAATCAAGAGCCCAATTTTTAAGTTTTAACTTCGCCCCCTCCCACATCCCTCCACTTGGAAAGTTTCTCGATCCAACTCTGACCGTATTCTTCAGATAAGACGCACAATTTACCTCCAAATATAAAAAAAAAACATGTGGTTGCGTCTTATTAATCTGGTGGCTGTGTGTGTGATTAGATCTGTGTAACTTTATTGACACCGTGACACAAGTTTTGGGACGCGTCTTATTTATCCGGAGCGTCGTATAATCTGGAGAAGATAAAGAAGTCCATACCGCTTCTGGAATTGAGCACGGTTCTAGAGGCACTTGATGAATAATACGGTAATGGGAGGGAATTCAAAAGTGAAGAGGTGCATGGAAAGGAGCAGATAGAGAAGTATGACCAGCAGTGTGGTGAGTGGGTGAGTTGTGACCTACAATGTGGAGGGTGGGTGAGTGGGTGGGTGGGTGAGTTGTTGTGACCTGCAGCGTGGTGAGTGGGTGGGTGAGTGTTGTGACCTGCAGTGTGGTGAGTGGGTGGGTGAGTTGTTGTGACCTGCAGTGTGGTGAGTGGGTGGGTGAGTGAGTTGTTGTGACCTGCAGCGTTGTGAGTGGGTGAATGAGTGAGTTGTTGTGACCTGCAGCGTGGTGAGTGGGTGGGTGAGTTGTTGTGACCTGCAGTGTGGTGAGTGGGTGGGTGAGTTGTTGTGACCTGCAGTGTGGTGAGTGGGTGGATGAGTGAGTTGTTGTGACCTGCAGTGTGGTGAGTGGGTGGGTGAGTTGTTGTGACCTGCAGTGTGGTGAGTGGGTGGGTGAGTGAGTTGTTGTGACCTGCAGCGTTGTGAGTGGGTGAATGAGTGAGTTGTTGTGACCTGCAGCGTGGTGAGTGGGTGGGTGAGTTGTTGTGACCTGCAGTGTGGTGAGTGGGTGGGTGAGTTGTTGTGACCTGCAGTGTGGTGAGTGGGTGGATGAGTGAGTTGTTGTGACCTGCAGCGTTGTGAGTGGGTGAATGAGTGAGTTGTTGTGACCTGCAGCGTGGTGAGTGGGTGGGTGAGTTGTTGTGACCTGCAGTGTGGTGAGTGGGTGGGTGAGTTGTTGTGACCTGCAGTGTGGTGAGTGGGTGGATGAGTGAGTTGTTGTGACCTGCAGTGTGGTGAGTGGGTGGGTGAGTTGTTGTGACCTGCAGTGTGGTGAGTGGGTGGTGAGTGAGTTGTTGTGACCTGCAGCGTTGTGAGTGGGTGAATGAGTGAGTTGTTGTGACCTGCAGCGTGGTGAGTGGGTGGGTGAGTTGTTGTGACCTGCAGTGTGGTGAGTGGGTGGGTGAGTTGTTGTGACCTGCAGTGTGGTGAGTGGGTGGATGAGTGAGTTGTTGTGACCTGCAGTGTGGTGAGTGGGTGGGTGAGTTGTTGTGACCTGCAGTGTGGTGAGTGGGTGGGTGAGTGAGTTGTTGTGACCTGCAGCGTGGTGAGTGGGTGAATGAGTGAGTTGTTGTGACCTGCAGCGTGGTGAGTGGGTGGGTGAGTTGTTGTGACCTGCAGTGTGGTGAGTGGGTGGGTGAGTTGTTGTGATCTGCAGTGTGGTGAGTGGGTGGATGAGTGAGTTGTTGTGACCTGCAGTGTGGTGAGTGGGTGGGTGAGTTGTTGTGACCTGCAGTGTGGTGAGTGGGTGGGTGAGTGAGTTGTTGTGACCTGCAGCGTGGTGAGTGGGTGAATGAGTGAGTTGTTGTGACCTGCAGCGTGGTGAGTGGGTGGGTGAGTTGTTGTGACCTGCAGTGTGGTGAGTGGGTGGGTGAGTTGTTGTGACCTGCAGTGTGGTGAGTGGGTGGATGAGTGAGTTGTTGTGACCTGCAGTGTGGTGAGTGGGTGGGTGAGTTGTTGTGACCTGCAGTGTGGTGAGTGGGTGGGTGAGTGAGTTGTTGTGACCTGCAGCGTGGTGAGTGGGTGAATGAGTGAGTTGTTGTGACCTGCAGCGTGGTGAGTGGGTGGGTGAGTTGTTGTGACCTGCAGTGTGGTGAGTGGGTGGGTGAGTTGTTGTGACCTGCAGTGTGGTGAGTGGGTGGATGAGTGAGTTGTTGTGACCTGCAGTGTGGTGAGTGGGTGGGTGAGTTGTTGTGACCTGCAGTGTGGTGAGTGGGTGGGTGAGTGAGTTGTTGTGACCTGCAGCGTGGTGAGTGGGTGAATGAGTGAGTTGTTGTGACCTGCAGCGTGGTGAGTGGGTGGGTGAGTTGTTGTGACCTGCAGTGTGGTGAGTGGGTGGGTGAGTTGTTGTGACCTGCAGTGTGGTGAGAGGGTGGGTGAGTGTGTTGTTGTGTCCTGCAGTGTGGTGAGTGGATGAGTGAGTGTGTTGTTGTGACCTGCAGTGTGGTGAGTGGGTGGATGAGTGAGTTGTTGTGACCTGCAGTGTGGTGAGTGGGTGGGTGAGTGAGTTGTTGTGACCTGCAGTGTGGTGAGAGGGTGGGTGAGTGTGTTGTTG